GGGGGGGGGGGGGGGGGGAAGGAGCCCAGACGTGGCTGCCAGGCGTCTCAGGAGCACTGGGGCCGAGGCCCGGGGCAGGCCCAGTGCCGGGCAGGCGCACACGGCGTCAGACCACAAGCCACGAGCAAGGACCGTCCCCACGGTGACCCGGCTCCAAGGCGGGGCTGGCCTGGACCCCTCCAGGTGAGCCTCAAGCCCACCCACTGACCAGGGTCACTCTGCGCTCCAGTGACTGGGGGTCCAGGGACCCGAGGACCACAGCTCCACCCTGATGCCCACACCTAACCTACCCCTGCCCACCCACCGGGGCAGGACGCCCCGGGTGGGGCCCACCACACAGGATGGCTCCCACCCATCCCCAGACCCTGCCCACAGCCCCCCGAGGGAGCCCGAGACCCAGAGCCCGCTTTGGGCCCCTCCTGCACCCAGGCCGGCTTTGGCAACACACCAGCCTCTGGACCCACTCTGGGCGGGACGGCACATCCCGTGAGCCCCGCTGCCTCCGCCCAGCACAGGGCGAGGCTTTCAGCCCACCTCCGGCTCTCCTTCGGGCCTTCGATGACAGCGAAACAGAGACCACTGCGGGGAACCTGTCACAACAGCGGGGGCGTGTCTGCGCCCGCGAGGCTGTAATCCGGAGGACGCAGTGAGAGCTGCGCCACAGACGCCAGGTCACCGGGGGGCGCGCTGGAAACGCGGGTCAGGTCCCCCAGCGCGGAACCAGCGAGAGGAGGGGGCCGGGGCTGCGGGACCCCCGCAGCCGACAGAGGAACGTGTGTGTGCACAGAGGCGGGCGTCCCGGGACAGAGAGGAGGCAGGGGCACACTGTGTCCACCCTCCTCCCAGCCTTCCGGCCACTGCCGGGCAGGGCCTGCAGCCCAGGGAGGCGCTGGGGCCCGGAGGCCCGGTCACAGAGGAACAAGTCTCCAGCAGGAGGGAGGTCGCCGGGACGCTCAGCACACTCGCCCCTGCATCCGACACCTCCCGGGTTACGGCGCCCGCAAGAGGAAACGGAAATTCAGCCACAACAGTCCTGTCTGACCTTGACCCATCTCCGCCAGGAGCCAGAGTTCTGCATGTGTCTGCTCGGGCCCACAAGGACACCAGGGGCCCCCCGCGGGCACACAGGCACTGGCACAGACTCCTCTTGAGGTGGATAAATATTTTAAAACAAGGGTTTTGAGAACACTTATTCTGCAAGGCCAGCTTTCATGTGCAGAGCTGGCCATCGGAAGCACAGTGGTTGCTAGGAAAATAGGTCATTTTGACCCAGCCAGCTAAGCGTGAGTGGAGGGAGGTTTTAATTCTATTTCACAAGGGCCGAGGTACCAACACTGGCTCCCAGCAGCACCCGCGGCCTCGCGGGAGCCCACAGCGCCTTCTCTGCAGGCCCTGGCTTGGGCCAGCATCACCGGCCTGAGCCCTGGGGTCACGGGACACTTTCCTTATAACCCAGCTCAGCACTAAAGCCCAGGGGCCCAGACAGAGCTCTGTTCCCCACGGGGTCCTCGGCCACATTCACAGATGGGGTGTTTCTCGTCTGATCTCCAGGTTTCTGCAGGAGACCACCACCCCCAGGAGAATGCAAGGAGCTCCTTTCTGGAAGCGGGGTCGACGCTCCGACAGCCCTGTATCCCAGGAGACTGACTGACTGTCCCCGTGCCGCCGGACACAGGAGGCCTGGCCCTGTCGCCCTCAGCCCGCACCATCGGTCCTGCTGGTGGCCAGGAGGGGAGGCCACTGGCAGAGAAGGGCAGGGAGCAGAGGGGCAGCGGCCCCCCGAGTACCCGGCGAAGCAGCAGGGAAAAGTCGACAGCAGACTTTTTCAGGCAGCAACCAGCAGACCCGAAGCCAGAAGGCCAGTAACGTCTGAACACGTTTTCCCTAAAAATAAAACCATCAGCATTCCGTGCACACCTGGCCCAGCTTTCTTTTCCCCCCGAGAGGAGGACGCCCTGACACCGACCTCTGTCAGGGTTCCGCACCCGGGTCAGCGCCTGCCCGCGTGGGCCCCAGGCCCCTCCCGACAAGCCACGGACGGAGCGTGCAGGGTCTCCTGAGAGTCCAGGTGCAGACGGCACTGCTCCCAGAAGCCGGGGCTTTTCTTAAAACAGACAAAGCTGCTTCCAGCGAGGAAAGCAAGGCAGAGTAAAAATGGACGGCTGAGTCGTGAGTCACCACCACGGCTACGAGCAAGGGAGCGGGAGCCCGGGGTGGACGCTCCTGAGGCCTGGCGGGGCAGCCCGGCTCGCGACCCTCCGCCCCCACGTCCTGGCCTCCCGCGGCCTGAGACAGCGTGGCAGCTGTGTCTGGGGGGCAGGCCCGGCTCGGCTTGGAGCCGGAATCCAGGCCAGCCAGCCCACCCGCCCCGGGCACCTAGGCCCCCAGAGCATTCTTGGCCTCGAGAGAACCCACCCCAAAGTGGGGATCACATGGAAAGGGTGGTCACAAACCACATGTCACGTGTTGTGGATGTTCACACCCAAGGTGACTGAACTGACCCAGAAAACCCGTCAGAGAAAATCACCCGATGCTTCCAAGGCCCGCAGAGCTATGTGACCGCCGGGCGCGTCCTGCCCGGCCACGCACCCAGGCCCAGGCCCAGGCCCAGGCCCACCCTGCCTCCCTGCCTCCCACCCTGCCTCCCAGGACTCCCTGCCAGCCTCTCGGGGCACCCACCCTGCCTCCCTGCCTCCCGGGGCGCCTACCCCACCTCCCTGCCTCCCGGGGCACCCACCCCACCTCCCTGTCTCTCGGGGTGCCCGGCCAGCCCTCCTGCGTGACGGACACGGGCACGCGCAGGGGCCTGGTCAGCAAACGGTTGCCTCACGGACATGCCGAGGCCCTGACCTGCCCAGTGCCGCTTGTCCTCCAAGGTTGAAGGTCTACGGGGACCGAGACCCGGGGGACCAGGGGCAGGCCGTCCACAGGGGCCCCACGGTCAGCACTGTGTTTACTTCTCAGAGCAACAGGGTGCGGGGTGGGGATCCCTGAGCATCTCTAAGGACGGGAAGGATGGGGTTCTCCACCGCCCACCTCACCTCGTGGGAGGCCCTGTGACCAGGGGCTTGCTTGGGCCCCAGGGACATCCAGAGACCCCTAGACAAGAAAGTGAAAGGCGGAAAACGGAATCAGGCGTGTGCTCTGGCCGGCACGCCAGGTTCCCGAGAAGCAGGGTGGGCACCCTCAGGCCGCTCCTGGGCCCAGGCGACTGCCAAGCACCGCGTGCACCACTCAGCAGAAGGGGAAGGCCCATTAGGCATCCCCACCCCCTCCACGGTCCTGCCCCGGGCGGCACAGACAGCAGGCCCCTGGACGGGGGACAGGCCTCCTCTGGGCCGGAGC